GGAGCTCCTTTGAGACACGTGCTTAAAGGGATCTCCCTGGACAGCTGTTTCTCTCCTGCTGCGTGCTTCAGGACCTTCTATAGGGACTGACAGCCATAGCAGTTCTAGTTGTGGTTTCCCTCAGCCTCTTTGGACACCACAGCTTCTGCCCTAGTGCCTTTTGCGTTTTCACTGCTGTGCCACGGAGCCTGGGGTGCCTCTGTGCCTGCTTTGGCCCCACATGGCCATTTTTTGGAGTACCTGCAGCTGTTGCTCCATGCTGCTGCGCTACTCCTACAGGAGCTCGAGACCGAGCTTGATCTGGACCCCTCTCCATGGATGCAGTGGTGTCCCTGTGGCATCCCCACCTGACCATCGAGACATGTTATTAGAAACTGGACACCAGTACCGACTGGTAGGACTGGGCATGTCTACTGCGGAGGTCTCCGGGGAAAGACCAACTTGAGGGGCTCGCCGGAGTGGCCCTCAGGGGTTATAATGGGAAAAGAATTTTTTTTTTTTTAACTATTAACTACTAACTCATGCCTGGAGCTGTGTGCCTGGCTCGCCCCTGCGCTCCGGAGACGTACCACCCGGCTGCGGCCCGACATCCTGGTCAACAAGAGGGTCACCATTGCCCTCTGGAAGCTGGCCACTCTGGACAGCTACTGCTCAGTGGGACACTCAGTGCCGTTGTGATGCAGGTAAGTCCTGCGCGGCCCGACATCCTGGTCAACAAGAGGGTCACCATTGCCCTCTGGAAGCTGGCCACTCTGGACAGCTACTGCTCAGATGTGCGGCCGTGGACGGTTAGGAGGAACTGATGCAGGTAAGTCCTGCGGGGGTGCTGCATTCCCTGCCCAGAGGAAGGAAAAGGACTCCAGGGTGGGGAAAGCCCCGTCACCCAGGGGTTTGTGCCATCTCTTGAACATGCGCGGTCCTCTGGAGGGGGCTATTGCTAGCAAGAACTTTCCGGTTTGCGGCTCTCCCTCACACAGGCCTGCTGATATGGGGGAGAGGGAGAGACTGTGGGGCGAGGGGGTCCTGGTGTGTTTGGGGACAGAGGGCATCACAGGGGGGTCGGCACCCCCAAAGGGATCATGCACCTACTCTGCCTCATTTGGTACATTCCCTATGTTTCTGTGTGCTCTTCTGCAGGTTGTCCATGCCATGAATGACATCCTGTTCCAGGGAATCATCCGCCTTCAGGGTACTGACACAACAGTGGCTGGCTTTGCTGCTCTGGGGTTCCCCAACTGCGGGGGAGCCATGGATGCAACCCACATCCCCATCTGTGCCCCAGAACATCGAGTGGCCCATTTTATTTAACCAGAAGGGGTACTTCTCCGTCATGCTCCAGGCCCTCGTGGACCACCGTGGCCGCTTCACAGACATTTGTGAGGTGCACATGACGCCTGCGTCCTTCGTAACTCCAGCCTGCATCGCAGGTGCAAAAAAGCCCAATAAACTATAAAAAACAATGTTTGCTGTGCCCACGGAGGCTCGCGATCCCCTCTCCGGTTCTGAGAGTCTGGACAGTGCTACCAGCCCATCGGTTGTTTTTACGTTTATCCATTGGCCAGGGGAGGCTGCTGCCGAAGCACCATTTATGGGGGGCTAGAGGGAGCAGTAGCCCCCGCTCCCAAGTATGAACCCGTTGGATTTCATACTTGTCTGCTTAAAGAGATGTCCTGGGGGCCAGAGGCAGTTCTTACATGCAATAGAGTTTGAGCTGCTTGCAGCTTTGCCTTTGGGGCAGGGAACTTGTTATAAAAAAGGAAGGCAGGGCCATTAACAATAAGAAAAGGCTGGGCATTCAAGTAATTGAATGGCTGTTAGGTCATCAAGAAAACATTGCCACTTAAAAGATGGGGGGGGGAGAAGAGTAGGAAAAGAGTGTTGTGCTGCTGGGATTTGAATTTGGGTCATTGTTAAACTTACAAATGTTCTTGAAAGAGGGGTGAACAGGAACTAATCCAAAGCTGATTGCAAAGCGCTACAAAGGGATCTCACAAAATTGCGTGATGGGGCAGGAGGGGGGGGGGGGTAAATTTGAATAGTCAAGAAGATTAACTGATATGCCTAGGCTTATCAGTTGTCTATTCAACTATTTGTTCACATCCCTAACCCAAGGGCTACATCTACACTGCAGGCTTCTTGTGCAAGAACTGTTTTGCACAAGAGAGCATTCATGCTGATAGGACGGTCTTGCGCAAAAACTTCAGCCCAAAAGTTTTCCGTTAAAAGCATTTGCGGAAAAGAGCGTCTAGATTGGCAGGGATGCTTTTCCACAAAAGCACTTTTTGCAGAAAAGCGTCCCTGCCAATCTAGACACGCTTTTGCACAAAAAAGCCCTGATCGTCAATTTTGCGATTGGGGCTTTTTTGCGGAAAACACTACTGTGCTGTCTACACTGGCCCTTTTCCGGAACAGTTTTCCGGAAAAAGACTTTTGCCCAAATGGGAGCAGCATAGTTTTTCCGGAAAAGCACTGATGATTTTACATTAGATCATCAGTGCTTTTCTGGAAATTCAAGTGGACAGTGTAGTCTGGCAAGCTTTTCCGGAAAAGCGGCTGATTTTTCCGGAATAACTTGCCAGTGTAGACACAGCCTTAGTGTTTTAATACTATAAAAAAAACTTGTCACAGGTACACCCTTACTGACCTTCTGCGCTTCATTCTGTCTCCTTAGACATGCATGCACAGCTTCCAGTGATTTATCGCAGAGGTATTCGTGTCTAGCAGTGGCTGGCTTTGGGCCCTTTGAATTTAGTCAGTCTCTTGAGTTGCTGAACCTACGTGCACTAGATTGCGACCTTTCCTGATTTAGAAGAGTTTAAACTCTGAGGCTTGGTTGGTTGTTTGTGGACCTTATTTATATATGCTACCCTTCAGACATAGAGGATGACTAGGATTTCATCTGAATCATACAAAGACTTGTAAACATTACACTATGATGAAAGTATAGTATTCATTTCCAATACAATGGTGTAAAGGAAAATATGGATAGACAATCTTTTGTCCATAAGCAATTATGTGAGATTCCGTGTACTATAATACTAAAAACTAAGGCAGGGACATACAGAAGTTAGAGAAACCACTTACATCCTTTAAATATATGAGCGTAGGCATCCGGTAGCCTAGGTCGGGCAAGGCATAGCCTTCCGAAACAGCCAGGCATGGCTCCACCCTCAGATACAATCCTGGTATTCTATATCATCATCTATCTTCCTCAAAGAGAAAGATTCAAAGAGACTTTTATGACTATGACGGCCAGAACTGCCCACTGTAGAAAAACAGCTCTGCTTTGTTTGATTGAAATGATATTGTACAGCATTTGAAAGAATGTAGCTGTTAGGTGAAACTACTGTTGTTAATATTTCAGCTGCTATTGTAAAACAAACTAAAAACTTTTGACTGCCACTGAGATGAGTAAAAACAGATAGTGTTTCTAGGATTGTAAGGCAGACTGTCTGTCTGCCAATTGTCTGGCTAATGTAGCATATAATACTAATAATACTTCAGTGTGAGGTGCACATGACGCCTGCGTCCTTCGTAACTCCAGCCTGCATCGCAGGTGCAAAAAAGCCCAATAAACTATAAAAAACAATGTTTTTCCTTTAACCTAGTACATACAGAATTTGCAGTTGCGTGATATACAGGTTTTAATAAGCTTGTTTGCAATGACCTGCATCATTAATTAAAATTATGCAGTTTGTGAATGTGATCACCCTACATTCACGCTAATCAAAGCTTTATATCAATATGTACCTAGGAAAGGACAGACTTAGTTTTCTAACTCTGCAAGATCACCACATAGTCATTCTCAATGTACAACTGCACTATATAAAAATAGCCCCGAATACTTTCTAGGCCTTGGCTATGCATAATTTTGAGTGTTCATGTTTGTGGTGAAAGATACTTTTCTGCCACATGGTTTTTAAAGTCATTCAGGATATTGGAATGTTTCGAGTCTAGTCACTTAGTGCCAGGGGCAGCCCGTAAGTAGAGGCAGACTCGGTGGTTGCCTAGGGTGCCACCTTCAACGGGGTGGCTGGGGCGCCCGATGATGATGTCATGGGGCACCTGATAATTACATCATGCCATTGACAGCCGTGCAGGAGGGGGCGCTGATCGCGCATTCCGCCTGGGGCATCAGCTGCCACAGCCAGCCTCAGGCCACTCCTGCTTAATGCAATAGTACACAGATGGTAGGTGCATGGCAAAGGTACACAATAAATGCAATTTAGCACTAGATATCAGTATATCTGATATGGAAAATGTAATTTTATAAATATTTGACACTACTGTATCCTATACACACACCAGCTACGTCTAGACTGGCATGCTTTTCCGCAAATGCTTTTAACGGAAAAGTTTTCCGTTAAAAGCATTTGCGGAAAAGAGCGTCTAGATTGGCAGGGATGCTTTTCCACAAAAGCACTTTTTGCAGAAAAGCGTCCCTGCCAATCTAGACACGCTTTTGCACAAAAAAGCCCTGATCGTCAATTTTGCGATTGGGGCTTTTTTGCGGAAAACACTACTGTGCTGTCTACACTGGCCCTTTTCCGGAACAGTTTTCCGGAAAAAGACTTTTGCCCAAATGGGAGCAGCATAGTTTTTCCGGAAAAGCACTGATGATTTTACATTAGATCATCAGTGCTTTTCTGGAAATTCAAGTGGACAGTGTAGTCTGGCAAGCTTTTCCGGAAAAGCGGCTGATTTTTCCGGAATAACTTGCCAGTGTAGACACAGCCTTAGTGTTTTAATACTATAAAAAAAACTTGTCACAGGTACACCCTGTGAGCAGAAACAAGAGAAGTGTTTTTTCTCTTATTCATCCAGTTATTTCTCATATTGTATCTGTTATTAATAGCTTTCAAGGTCCTTTATTACCCTGTGAACCAAACCTTTAGGGCTACGCCTACACTGCAGACTTCTTGTGCAAGAATAGGTATTCTTGCACAAAAACTTGTGAAGCATCTACACTGCATATGCATCCTCGTGCAAGTAAATTTACAGTAAAGCATTTGAACAGAGGGCTTCCTGCACAAGAGTTATTCCTCTCCTAGTGAGGATTAACCCCTCTTGCGCAAGAAAGCAGTGTGGATGGGCAACAGGAGTTTCTTGCGAAAGTGAGAGTCCATGCGGCCATGGACACTCTTGTGCAAAAGCACATGGCATTGTGGATGCGCTCTTGCCTAGTAGTATTTGCCGAATCTGACAAAACAGCAAGATTTTAGAAGCTATCAGAAGCTAATCTTGAAGCACAAGCTTACAGAATATGTATTTTATGGTTAAAATCTGTATGCTTAGGCTATGAAGTTGTTTAGAATGCATCTATAAACTTTGATTTTAAAAACAAAAGTGGAAAAATTAGGTATTGAAACCTTAATATGAAGTGATTCAAGGTGATATTTTAGTACAGTTGAGCAAAGAATATCCACCTAATTTTTTCTTGTAATGTCACCTAATTGCAGAGTCAATGACAATGGTTAATAGTCAAGGTCAGAAATAGATGAAAATACAGTTCTAATGCAGGACTGTAATAATTTGGAATCCTCCACTGTAAGGAAATATGCAAAACTAACTAAGCTTCATAACATACCTGTGATTTATTACAGGTTAAATTCTATGTAACTACTTTTGACCTGATAACTTTTTTTAGCAAGGTGAAATCTAATGGAAACACTACTCCAATAATGAATTTGACTACTTGAACTCATGTTCATCTGTACATGCACATAATACGTCTGTTCCTTTTAAAGTTTCTTATTTTGTAATTAAAACATTTGTGTCCCAGCATTTGGGCGTAATGGTTTGGTCTAACCTGTCCATCTGTCTTAATTTGATCTTGTGTGTCTTATAACTGTTTTAAGGAAAGTCATGTTCTTGGCAATACCATACCAATTTGTTTTGTTTGCTTTAAGGCTCAGTTTCTTCCTTATCACAACAGTCCCATTTTATGTGATATGCTCCAACACTTCTCCTGTTATTGTCATCTGTTATCCTGCATAATGTCACTACAAGTGTTCAGATGTAGCCAGTCATGCACATTTAGGACACAGCTTTGCCTAGATGTTCCTCAATGTTTCAAAGTAAATCCTTTAGTTCTTCAGTCAGTTAAGTTTATAGTTCATTACAGTCAGACTAGGACAGTGGTATATTGGGAGGTCTGCCCTTCAGGCGATTTAGAGAATGGACTTTTAACATGACTTAATATGGAGTTCCACAGCTAGCATTTGTTATAGTACATGCATTTTTGTACTGGCAATACCTCAGCTGTTTGCATGGAAGTAAAAGCCATACAAATATGGTAAGAAAGGCAGTCCTCATATATTGAAGCTTTCCCCAAATTCAATGGTACAATGCATTTGTGCTGACAAGAGTTAAAAATTTTGCTTGCTTGAGGGGGGAAAAAACCTCAAGATACTTCAGGGAAATAGTGGAAGTCAAAGTAAATCAAAGGTAAGCCCCAAAACATGGTACTATCACCACTGATTTTGAATCAGCACGACGCATATACATTCTCACTTCAGAAGCTACTTTTCAATTCACTCACATTATTTATATAAGAACATAAGAACGGCCGTACTGGGTCAGACCAAAGGTCCATCTAGCCCAGTATCCTGTCTACCGACAGTGGCCAGCACCCAGTGCCCCATAGAGGGTGGACCGAAGACTGATCAAGTGATTTGTCTCCTGCCATCCTTCTCCAGCCTCTGACAAACAGAGGCCAAGGACACCATTTTATCCCCTGGCTAATAGCCTTTTATGGACCTGACCTAACCTCCATGAAATTATCTAGCTTCTCTTTAAACTCTATTATAGTCCTAGCCTTCACAGCCTCCTCTGGCAAGGAGTTCCACAGGTTGACTACACGCTGAGAGAAGAACTTTCTTTTATTAGTTTTAAACGTGCTCCCTATTAATTTCATGTGGTGTCCTCTAGTTCTTATATTTAGGGAACTAATAAATAACTTCTTTATCGGTCCCTCTCCACACCACTCATGATTTTATAGACTTCTATCATATCCCCCCTCAGTCTCCTCTTTTCTAAACAGAAAAGTCCCAGTCTCTCTAACCTCTCCTCATATGGGACCCGTTCCAAACCCCTAATCATTTTAGTTGCCCTTTTCTGAACCCTTTCCAAAGCCAAAATATCTTTTTTGAGGTGACACCACCACATTTGTACACAGTAATCAAGATGTGGGCATACCAGAGTTTTATACAGGGGCAGTAAAATATTCTGGGTCCTATTTTCTATCCCTTTCCTAATAATTCCTAGCATCCTATTTGCCTTTTTGACTGCTTCTGCACACTGCGTGGAAGTTTTCAGAGAACTGTCCACAATAACTCCCAAGATCTCTTTCCTGATTTGTCGTAGCCAAATTAGCCCCCATCATACTGTACGTATAGTTGGGGTTATTTCTCCCATTGTGCATTACCTTACACTTATCCATATTAAATTTCATTTGCCATTTTGTTGCCCAATCACTCAGTTTGGTGAGATCTTCTTGGAGTCCCTCACAGTCTGCTTCTGTCTTGACTATCCTAAACAGTTTTGTATCATCTGCAAACTTTACCTCCTCACTGCTTACCCCTTTCTCCAGATCATTTATGAATAAGTTGAAAAGGATTGGTCCCAGGACTGACCCTTGGGGTACACCACTAGTTACCCCTCTCCAATCTGAAAATTTACCATGTATTCCTACCCTTTGTTTCCTGTCTTTTAACCAGTTCTCAATCCAAGAAAGGACCTTCCCTCTTATCCCATGGCCATGTAATTTACACAAGAGCCTTTGGTGAGGGACCTTGTCAAAGGCTTTCTGAAAATCCAAGTATACTATATCTACTGGATCCCCCTTGTCCGCATGTTTGTTAACCCCTTCAAAGAACTCTAACAAATTAGTAAAACAGGATTTCCCTTTACAGAAACCATGTTGACTTTTATCCAACAAATTATGTTCTTCTACATGCTTAACAATTTTATTCTTTACTATTGTTTCGACTAATTTGCCCGGTACTGAAGTTAGACTTAACGGTCTGTAATTGCCAGGATCTCCTCTAGAGCCCTTTTTAAATATTGGTGTCACGTTGGCTACCTTCCAGTCATTAGGTATGGAAGCCAATTTAAAGGATAGGTTACAAACCACAGATAATAGCTCAGCAATTTCCCATTTGAGTTCTTTTAGAACCCTTGGATGAATGCCATCCGGTCCCGGAGATTTGTTAACATTAAGTTTTTCTATTTGTTCCAAAACCTCCTCTAATGACACTTCAATCTGGGACCAGTCCCAGCGATTTGTTAACATTAAGTTTTTCTATTTGTTCCAAAACCTCCTCTAATGACACTTCAATCTGGGACAGTTCCTCAAATTCATCATCCACAAAGGACAGTGCAGATTCAGGAATCTCCCCAACGTCCTCAGCCGTGAAGACTGAAACAAAGAAATCATTTAGTTTCTCCACAATGGCTTTATCGTCCTTGATTGCTCCTTTTATAGCTCGATAATCTAGGGGACCCACAGGTTTTTTAGCAGGCTTCCTGCTTCTAATGTACTTAAAAAACATTTTGTTATTTATTTTTGAGTTTTTGGCTAGCTGTTCCTCAA